CGCCCCGGGGGCTGAGCTGGGGGAAGCCGGCCATGGGATGGGAGCGACCCACCCTGCTTGCCGTGCCAGATGCGGCCCCTCCATCCACCCTCACCGGGGTCGGCGGGGGCCACAGCAGCTCCATGGGGCCAGGAGCACCCAGGACAAGCCCAGCCCTGGCCCCCAGCCTGTGGGAGCAGGGACAGCCAGTCCTCCTCTGCCATCACCTTCCACTCCTCCCTGGCTGGCAGGGAGCAGGGCTACAGGGAGGAGAGCGGCGTCTTGGCAGAGCCGTCCCTTGGCTGGACCCGGCCTGGCTGGAGGGTCCCAGCCCGGAGCCAGATCCGGTCAGCAGGAGCTCGCCCGCTTCCTCCCGCCGCAGGCAGCCCCGTGCGATGGGCAGATAAAGCACGGCCACTGCAGGTAGCCGAAACGCCGGCCAGGGGACCAGCCCCTGGGCAGGACTCCAGCCATGGACAGGCAGCAAAGGTGGAGGCGGCAGAAAAGGGCCTGGGGATGGTGGCAGCACAGAGAAAGCCAGTCCCCACCTGTGCAGCAGGGTGCAAACACCCACATCCCCACGTGTCTCGTCCCCAGGAACTCAAGCCACTGATGTCACTACCATTTCCTTTTATTCTTTGCATTTGTACATACATGGTATAAAACCCTCCGCTTCCATCTGCCTGCACCAGGCCAGTGTCGGTACTGCCCAGCCAGACCTGCCCTGTGACGGCGGCCGCCTGGCACGCAGGACACTGGGGCTCGCCTTGGCTCACGGGGGGTCCCAGGCGTTCCTCCCACGGGGGACGGACCCACATTCCCATCAGCATCCCTGGGAGCAGCCAGTGCCAGGCCTGGCCAGGGAGGTATCCCTACGACCCCCGGGCTGTTTGGAGTGTCAGGCATCTGGGATGGATCCATCCGTCAGAGGGATGGGGAGCAAGACCCCGCCGTGGCACGAGACCGGAGGCTCTCAGTCTGCAGAAAGTCCCCAAGAAACCTGGGGAGCTGGAGCTGCCCACAGTCCCAAGCCCCCTCTGAGCTCCAGAGCCAAGTCCTTCCTCATGGGAAATCTCCCCTCCGTTAAAACCAAAAGCGAGAGTAAAGAAAGTTAAGTACAAATCAGAGAGCAGTAAAAACCATATGGCGGAAAAAAATATATATATTACTAAAGGGGCTAAAACTTCGAAGCCTCGTCTTGTTTGATCCTATATTGCTTTACATGGGCAGGGGGGAAAAAAGAAAAGAGCTAATATCCAAAGTCCAACAGAAATAACTGAAATCGAGTCTGCTTTCCCCTCCCGGGATGTGCTGGAGCTCTCCGGGAGCCGAGAGGCGTCGGGGCTGCCCCGGCCCCGGGCGCAGAGTGCTGTCCTGCTGCGGCATGTCCGCCACCGGACGGGGAGAGGGAACGAGTGAGGAGTTGAGTCTTCCCCGGTGCCACCCATTGCAGCACCGGGGTATTCGGCCCCGTGTCCAAGCAACCGCAAATGAGAACCAGACCCCTTGGCTTGGCCGCTCGTCTTTTATACTCTGATCTCGTCGTCATCTTCGTCAGCAAACGAGAACTCCTTGTCGGGGCGTTTTGGGGGGCCCCGCTGGCTCGGTGGCCCAGGGACAGGGCTGCGCTCCTCCGGCCCCG